TATGATTTGATGGGTTATTGTACCCTATGAGTATCATTAAGTGTTGCACCTGTTGATTCTGGACTCTTAACAAATGTCTCTTTTCTCTTATGGACACCGAGAGCATTTGCACCAAGACAAATTCCTTGTGTGTCCAAACACACTTGGCCAATAAAGAATTCTAAATATCTTCTATCTTCTTTACAAATGAAACTGTCCCTGGCTACAAATGCCTGGGAGGAAGCAGAGAGAGAGAGAGAGAGGGAGAGAGAGAGAGAGAGAGAGAGAGAGAGAGAGAGAGAGACTGTCTGTGTCTTTTTTCTAGCTATTTTGCTTTTCCTGTTAGTTTCATCAGCTTCAGACAGTTTAAAGATGCTAAAGGAAGCTGTTTCCCAGGGTACGGTTTGAGGTGACATGGATCCCTCAGGAAAGGGTCACTGAAGAGACAGGATTCCATGCATTGATTCTCATGTCACCCCCACATGTAACACCCAAACAGCACAAAGGGTGGTGTGGAGCCAGACAGACCTGAGGCCCATCTATTGCCAGAGGAGCCACCAAATGCTGGAGGAAGTTGAAGCAGCAACCAGGCGAACCACTTCACCCTCCAGCTGGCATGGAGAACCTATGAAGAGTCATCATCATCAAAGCCACAGAAGGTTTCTTCCATTAATATTTTTAGTGATCACTTTATTGGATGATTTCAGATTATACACAATATTAGTTTATTTTCAGTTAGTCCGATCCCGAGAATGAAATTTCTATTGTTCATCAGTATTTTCACTGAGTTGTCACAGTCCCTTCCCTGATCAAACTCTGCCTGTGGCCTCAGATACCACCGATGTATATGGGAAGTTGGCAAGCACCCCTTTCTTCCTGCAAATTTGAAACTGTCTTTGCTGTTCACAGATCTGAAAACTCTAGTCCCCAGTTCCGTATTTCTGAATAATTTGGAGAAAGTCTGGAAGAACAGTGGAGATGGTGCTGGGAGCAAGTATATGTTGCTTGCCTAACAGGCGTTAATTTTCAGATGGGCAGTAAAAAATGAGTTATCTGTAAGATCAGAAGAATCCTACTAAGGCAATACTAGGGGGGCAGCTGTTTGACACTTTCATACGTTAGGTTTTTTTAAGGTATCTGGAATCTACAGAGTAGGTAGTACATACATACTTGTAGAAATAAATACATTATTCGTTTTATACTTCCTGTAATGGACCGTGAGAACAACCTTGGGAGACAGGAAGAAGGAGCTACAACTGGGATAGCAGTCAGCAAGAGATATCTCAACCCAGAAAGAAGCAATACTGGAATATTGTAAAAAGAAATTCAAATAAACTTTTGAAAATAAAATAGGTAAAGGCACTGATGTAAAAAATAGTTTAGGATGTAAGTAAAGTTTTATAATTTTATAAAACTTTACTTACATCCTAATAATTTTATGCAACATAAAAGTAAACTTAAAAAGAAGCGTCAAGAGACAACAGAAACCATTTTAGATAAAATACTAAGGAAAAAAGAACTGAAGAAACTTCCCAAGAAGATAAGTGTGGATCAATAAATTTAAGATTTTACGATGGCAACTATTTTTCTCAGTAAAAGAAACTGAAATAAAACTGAATTATGTAAAGCAAAAAAAAAAATGAGTTTGTAAATGAACTGGGTATGTGGGAATAAAGATTAGGAAAGACTGTTTTTGCAGAGGACTTGGTGCTGCCTGTGGATCTTTTAAAGGGAATTGAAATATTAATGTGTTTTTGCAAAGAACTTGGTCATAAGCAGATGTCAAGATTAATAAAACAGAAGATAAAAATATTAACACAAATATGAAACTAAGAAACTGAACAGATAGCATTGTAATGCTATCAGGCTACCTGCCTGAGCAGGGGGGGTGGACTAGAAGACCTCCAAGGTCCCTTCCAACTGTTATTCTGTTAAGGAGAGGCTACTTCAGATACTCTAGAAGGTACATAAGACATCCAATTTCCAGTAAAATGAAGTCACTGAGCAAGTAAATAGGTATCTGAAAACACAGCACAGTGGGTGAGTTTAAATAGGATTTTCCCAACTAATTTCCTTTTTGGCACACATATTCGATTGCAAGTGGATAGGGTAGGTATACTTTCTTAACCTGTGAGGTTGAAAAGAAAATAAGAGAACGCAAAGGTGGTTCCGCTAGTAATTATAAGGTAGGGCCAGAAGGAATAGAATGTAGCCCAGTGGGACATAGCAATTAGGAACTGGCCTTAAAACAGCATTGTATGCGCAAGCAGCCACTGCATGTTTATAGTGGTGCTTGAACAAAGATAAAACAATGGCAACAGTGATTGTTGATGCTTGAATGCTTCCAAAGATAAAAATTTACTGGATGGCGCTCAGGAGGTACGATAGCTCAAACAAAATTCACAAGAAAGAAAATGAGATAGAGGAAAACTCATAGATTTGACACGATTAGAAAGATGAAATATGCTGGGAGCAGGAGAGATAGCGCCCTTATCTATGGGGAAATATGTGGGCACAAATGGTGACGGCATTAAACCACCAGTCCAATGCCCTGCTGAGAGCAATTGAGGTTCCCCTGACGAATGGCTGCTTGAACACATCCAGTCTTGCATTTGCAAGGTTGAATCTTTTTCACATGAATTAGCTTCTATCCTGTCGTTGCTTCCTCTGAACTTGTTTTAATTTGTACAAGTTCTTGCTATAATGTACAACCTAGAACTGGACACTGTAATTGATTCAAGATGGACTACGATCAATGCAGGCTAAAATGGAACTATTGTGTGCTACTGCTGTGAAACAGCAATAATAGTTATCTTCGAAGTTCTAGGAAGAAACTCAGAAATTTGTGACCCAGGTGATGTTCTCATACCTTCTCCCAGGCAACCGAGAAAGACCAACTATGGAACATCAAGAGTTTTCGGTTTGAGGACACTTTAGAGGTGAAAGATTGGTGGCACCACCAAGAGCTGGGAAGAAAGGAGGTTGAAGCAAAGTCAACTTAAGCGGGAACCTCCACCCTGTGAGCTTGTGAGACACGATGTTAGAGTAAGAATTTCAAACTGATATGTGATAAGAGCAAATGACAGAATAGTTATACCAGGCTATCCTGCCAAAAAATTAGCATCATCCCATCAAGCCCAATACAGTATTATGCTTGCCATATCAGCATGAAAAAATCAGAACCACCATTAGATGGCAGTCATTGGGATTTTTGCTGCCATCTAAGTGGTGGTTCCAGTTACTGTATAGGCCAATATCTTGAGGCTTGATGGAATGGGTGCCTAATTCGAATATAATGGATTTATTCCAGGAGAAAAGATGAAGTTGAGAGAGGGGATGAATTGGACTATCACTCTGCTAAACAAATAATTCCCTCAAGGCTGTCCAACTATTTACCAAGTCTGCACTACTCTTACTGTTAACCTTCTCCTCACTCCTGATTGCCCCTCCCCTCCCACTTGTGACTGCAGGACTGTAACTTGGTCGCTTGTATCCGTACGATTTTTATGGTCTGTTTCCTAGTGTGATTTGATTGCTTATTGTACCCTATGACTGTCTTTAAGTGTTGTACCTGATGATTCTTGACTCTTGACAAATGTATCTTTTATGTACACTGTGAGCATTTGCACCAAGACAAATTCCTTGTGTGTCCAACCACACTTGGTCAACAAAAAATTCCATTCTGTATGCTATGTCTGCACTTTGTTGTGCTATTGAGCGTCTCTGATTAAAGAAAGAGGAAAAAATGGATCAGAGGATTTTCTGCTCTTCGTGTCTTCTATTGCCCTTCAGTCCACGTTTCCTCCTGGGACGAAAACTTCCCAAAGGAAAGAGTTGATCCTTCAAAGAGATATGAAATAGTCCCGGTATAGGATTTTGATTGCCCCTGTTGGGAGACCAAACTCTGCTACCTGCAACCCCTCCAGAAAATTCCTGACTTCCATTGCTAACAACTCTCTCTTCAAAACTCTCTCACCAACAGTGCAAGATTTAGTGGAAGAAGTGAGAGTGGAAGACGGGGCACTTTCTGATTGTAGGAGAAACTAAAGCTAAGTCTCCCCCCAGCGTGTTCCTTAGACTTAAAAAAACCCACAATTTTATTGGATTTGGAGAAACAATAATGCTCGAGATAAATAAAACGGAGAAAGGTCGCATTGGGAATCGGGAGGGAGCTCTTTAAAGGCTAAAAACTCAACGGCAGACCATCCCAATAACAAGACAGGGACCGGGAAGATGCAGAGAATTCTAGTTTTGTCTGACAACAGGTCCCCGCGTAAACTCTCTGCCGGAGCCTTCAAATGGCAGCAACGAGGAAACCTCAGCACGGATTTCTCCAAGACTTGTCCCATTGATCCCAGTTCATCGCAGTCCAAGGCGTGTTTTGGAAACAGGCTAATTTGGCTGGAGCAAAACTCAGAAGGCGCCGAGCAGCAGCCCCCGCTCTTCAAAGGAGAAGAGCGGCTCCTTCGGCCAGGGGCAGGGAGGGGCTCGGGTGGGGTCGCCAACTGACGGGGGGGGAGGCCGAGAGATGAGACCCGTCGCCACCGACGCCCGGGGAACTCCTCGAGGCTGGGCGTCGGCCGCTTCAAGGGCCCCCCGGGCTTCGCCTCTCCGCTTTAAAGCGGCGCCCGGGGAAGCTGCCCCGGGAAGGCGGATCCTAGCAAGCGGGGCTGAAGCTGCTGGGCAGCGGCGCCGACGCCGAAGAGGCCGCCGTGGAGGGCAGGTGGCGGCTGCTGGCGCTCACTCCGGCCGCAAAACAAGCCGGGGTTAAGCCCCAGGGAGGCCGGTTGAAGGGCAGGAAAAGGCCCGCCTTGCCCGCCGCGGAGAGCCCCGCAGTGGGAGCGGCACCTGCCCGGGAGCCCCGCAAAGCCGGCCGGCTCCGCCTCCCGTCCGGCTGAGAAGTTTCCTCCCGCGCTCGCCCGCCAGACTCGGGCCGCGCTCGCCAGGGCCGCCGCTCGCAGGGCAGAGCCGGAGGACGAGCGCGGCTGAGGCGCCGCCGCCGCCGCCGCCGCCGCCCTCACCTGTCGGCGCCGCGCGCTTCTCTTCCTGGGCGCCTCGCTCTCTTCGACGGGGCGGGCGGGTGGGCGGCTCTCCTGGTCCGGGAAACCGCGGCGGCGGCGGCGGCGGCGGCGGCCCTCCTCTGCTGCTGCCTCCGCCCGCTGCGCCGCTCTGGACCGGGCGCTTCTGCCGCCCGGGGAATTGCCCAGCGCGGTCGGCGGAGGAGGCGCGGCAGCCACCCCCGTCGGGAAGGCGCGGCTGTCCGGGCGCTCCCGCCCCTGCTCGGCCTCCTTTGCCCGGCCCTGGAGGGGCTCCCGGGGCCGTTCTTTGCCTCGCGTCGTCCCAGCGGGCCAGAGGCGGGGGATCCTCCAGTCCAGGAGTCTTCCGAGGGCCTCGCCGCGCCCCCGGACGGCCGGAGAAGCCCAGGCCGGGCAGCTGGAGGGCGGCTGGGCGGTGGCGGCTGCGGACGCTTCCAGCCGTCTCAGGGGAAGGAGAGCGAGCGCCGCGGGGGCTCCGGGCATCCCACCGAAAGGGCGGGGCCTTCCTCGCACAGGCCCCTGACTGAGCCCCCACCCCCCACTCCCCTTCGCTCTTCCAGTGCCCGACACATTGGCAGGCTTGGCTTCCATAAGCGGAGAAGACGGCGGGAGTTTCTGGGGTTCTCCCTTCCGTCCTTCCTGCTGTGGGATGGTGGCGAAGCCCAGGGCCCCACCAGCCTTTGGGGCCGTAGCTGGGCTTCCCTGGCTGATGCTCTCCCTACAGGCAACGGGGCAAGACGGAGCTTCAGTGCCATTGCCCATCTCTGAATTGGCAGCAGCTATCAACCTGAGCGCCCCCCCCTTCCCCCTGGGTGCCTGGGGTGTCTCCTGCCCTCCCCTTTCTGGAAGTCTAGGTGGGAGGCTCCTGTCCGTCCCAGCCCACCCTGCCAATCAGCTAGTGGGGAGGGGTCTTTCACAGTGGGGGCCCTCAGGGCAAATAGTAGTAGGCCTGGTTGGAGGAGGAGGAGTTGCAATAACACTTAGACTTACCTTCTTCTCCACAGTGTTTTATTTTAAGCACTTTTTACAAATGTCAGCCTATTGCCCCCCACAATCTTGGTCAAGGGTCTTCAAACATGGCAAGTTTAAGACTTCAACTCCCAGAATTCCTGAGCTAGCATGACTGGAGGAGGAACTCTGGGAGTTGAAGTCCCAACTCTTAAAGCTGTCAAGTTTGAAGACACCTGATCTAGGTCCTCCTTTTACTTGCCTCGGAAGGGTGGAAGGCTGAGTCAACCTTGAGCCGGCCAGGATCAGCCTGCAGTGCTGCCCTCTAACCACTGCACCAGCTCAGGTGGTCTCCATAATGCCCTTCCAGCAGCGCAGAAGCAGAGCTTGGAAACCAGGGTTTGTTGTGAACTGAAGTCAGGAGACTCGGCTGGCCGGATCGAAGAGCGCAACCTGGATCAGCCATGCAGTGTCTGGCCAAGGGCCGGCCCTGCAGAGCGTGATCCTGGCCACAGATCATGTCACCAAGGAGGCCCCAGAGGAAACCCCACCTTTGCCTGTGGCTTCAGCTGAGCTTCACTTCCTTTTCTGCCAACTCCCTTCCCGGGACGGCCTGCGCCTCAGGTTGAGCAGGTTTGGAGGAAGGGCGGGGCTGTTTTTTCAGGGGGGATGGAGGCTCTTGGGGAGCTTCCCAGCCCATCAGCTTTCAAGCTAAGTTGGGGAGTTCAGCCACCGCTCCTCTCCTTGGCATCGCTTTTCTGCTGAGCTGCCGTCCTTAGTCATCGACTGTGTCTCCTGCGCCTTCTTCCTTCTCCAAAAACCAGGCCGGGGAGGGTGTAAGTCTGATGGGGCTTTTTCTCAAAGGAGGATAAACAAGGAGGAGCTTTTCTAGATCCGTTTTTTTCTAGTATTGGAAAAATATTAGTCCAATTGTGGCAACAGTAATCCAGTGTGGTTCCGGGGCAGTTTAGTTTAGTTTAGTTTATTGTCATTGCACCTCATACAATGGAATCAAACACCATCTTCAGTGTACGTTATAACTATGAAAATAAACACAAACGCACATCCTTCACACTCCACACATTGAATTGAAAACCCCTGATATTGCATTAATATTGCACTAGAATTCAAAAGAGCTCCTGCCCTGGGAGAGAAGCTGTTTTTCAGCCTATTTGTCCTTGTTTTTATTATTCTGTACCGTCTGCCAGATGGTAATAGTTGAAAAAAAAAGGGGTGCCCAGGATGAGATGCATCTTTGAGGATGTTTTGAACTTTCCTAAGGTAGCAGGAGCTATAAAGCTTTTCCAAAGAGGGGAGAGGGCAACCCAGGATCCTCTGGGCAATGTCGTTAACCCTCTGGAGTGCTTTCCTATCTGTCATTGTGTAATTGGCAAACCATACAGAGGTGCAGTAAGTTAAAACACTCTCTATGGTGCAGTGGTAGAAGGTCACCAGCAGTTTTTCATTCCATTGTTGTTTCCTGAGGGATTTGGGGAGGGGGCATGACGCCCTCAGCTCTTCTGGAGACATGCTGATCCCTCCAGGAAAGGGCAGAGGGTGCCACAGGGGGCAGTTTGGTGTAGGGGGAAGCTCCCCTTTGAAGGGACTGGAAGAGTAGCTTTCTGGGACAGGAGAGAGTACAAGAGGTGGCATTGCCAGCTGATATCCAGGGCTTGAACCTTTGAGCCAAGCATACCCACCTCCCTGAGCAACCGTATTCTGGAGGAATAGCAACTCCGTGGAAACCCCTGCAGGTATTTCATGAGGCCGGTATTCCCGAAGTAAGCAGGAGGCTGGGCTTTCCTTGCTGTGAGGAACGGGATTAGCTGCAGAGCCCGTCTTCTGTTGTTATATGCATTCAGGCAAGCCTGGATTCGTAAGACACAGGCCTCTTGGCCTCCTGCTTCCTGAGAAGACCAGGAACATTCAGGAGGCCAGGAGCATCGCCAAGGAAGAGACCCAAAGCTCCAGGCTCTTCACGACTTCGTTGGAAAGCTTTGTCTCTGGTTCTTTCAGCAGTTTCAGGAGGACAAACAGCTGGTGCTTCAGTGGTGGGATTCAAGTTTTTTACTACCGGTCCTGTGGGCGTGGCTTGGTGGGCGTGGCAGGGGAAGGATATACTGCAAAATCCCCCTTCCCTCCCCACCTCGCTAACCTGCTTTCCAGCCCTGTTCTCCTGTGCAGGGCAACCAAAGGAGACCCAGCTGGGACTCAATGGGAGGCAGAGAATAGAGGGTGTCAGATACCTGGAATTAAAAAATAAGAGGAAAGCCGTTAACACTGTCGATTTCAGAGTTGCTTTTATTTAGAATAAAATGGAATGGAATGGAATGGAATAGAAATAGAAATAGAAATAGAAATAGAAATAGAAATAGAAATAGAAATAGAATAGAATAGAATATGGAATAGAATAGAATTCTTTGTTGGCCAAGTGTTATTGGATACACAAGGAATTTGTCTTTGGTGCATAAGCTCTCAGTGTACATAAAAGAAAAGATACATTTGTCAAGAGTCGAGAATCATAAGGTACAACACTTAATCATAGTCATAGGATACAATAAGCAATCAAATCATACCAGGAAACAGTCAATAAAAATAATTACGATAAAAGCAACAAGGTTACAATCATACAGTGGGAGGGGATGAGTGATAAGGAGGGATGGGAAGGTTAATAGTAAGAGTAATGCAGACTTTGTAAATAGTTGGACAGTGTTGAGGGAATTATTTGTTTAGCAGAGAGATGGCGTTCAGGAAAAAACTGTCTAGTTGTTTTGGTGTGCAGTGCTCTTTGAGGGAAGGAGTTGAAACAGTTTATGTCCGGGATGTGAGGGGTCTGTAGATATTTTCACAGCCCTCTTTTTGACTCGTGCAGTATACAGGTCCTCAATTGAAGCAGGTGGGTAGTAATTGTTTTTTCTGCAGTCCTAATTACTCTCTGAAGTCTGTGTCTGTCTTGTTGGGTTGCAGAACCAAACCAGACAGTTATAGAGGTGCAGATGACAGACTCAATAGTTCCTCTGCAGCACTGGATCAGCAGCTCCTTGGGCAGTTTGAGCTTTCTGAGTTGGCGCAGAAAGAACATTCTTTGTTGTGCTTTTTTGATGACATTTTTGATGTCAGACGTTATTTCCAGCCTGAGACAATCTTGGGAAAAAAGGCTGCAGCTTGTTTGGGGACGTGTCTGATTGACCCCTTCCCCATCAAGAGGTCCAAATTTTGTATTGCATTTTAGAATTACTCATGTGAAGAACAAACTGCTGGACAGCTTTTAAATGCTATCAGTAAATCTGATCAACAATGTCTGAATAAGCTCAGAGAGATATAATAGGAATGTTTCCATAACACAAGTTTTAATTGCATCAAATACAATGGTGGAGTGACAGGCAGCTGTGTTTTTACTCAAGCTGAGCTGTTTGACAAACCTCCTCCTCCATGTTCCCAGCTCATTGCGGACTTTCCAGGACAGGGAGGCTGATGCGCGCCTCTCCTGCAAAGCCTGCCCAAGCAAAGGGAGTTGCACAAACATTTCAAAACTAACTTTGAGAAGGACTCACGAGTGGAGTCACAAGCAGGAAGTGCAGTCAGCGTATCTCCCCTTCCCCCCGCCCTCCTCTCTGGAGGCAACAAATGCTGGGTCCCTATTTGGGGGGAGGAAGGGGTGATGTCAGAGGCCACAACTTCAGTCTTTCAGCCTTGTGACAAACCAGGAAGGGCCACGGCATTAAATCATGGAAGGAGCAGTCTACCAACTACTGGCTGAGTGTCGCCCTTTAGGGAGGCGGATGACTAGATGGTTGAAGGCTGGATATGACCCAGAAGGGCCTCTCTACTTGCTGGCTGCTGCTTGCCCAATTCTTCCACCTCTGCAAAGGGTGCTGGAGAGCAGCAGAAGAATTGCTCTGCCCTTGTGGCAACTCTTGGCACAGGCCAACCCCCCACCCCCACCCCTCGGGCTGCGAAAGAGGGGAAGGTAACGCCATGGGAGCAGGGCAGAAAAAAGGGGGCCAGCCCAGGTTTTCATTATGATTGGGTGAAAGTGGGGAGAAGCTCCTGGAGGAAAAACCTCAGTCCAGCTTGGAGGAGCCCCCTTTGCTTCACTGCCAGGTGCAATTTGATGCCCTCCCACTGTGGGGCTGAGGGCAGTAGGGTCAGGCTGCTTGGGAAACTGGTGGCATCACCCTTGAACTGCCCGGAGTGAACTGA